GGATTGGTCGCAGTTTTTCCTAGGATATCATAGTCCATTTTCCTACCTAGTGCTATCTAGAGCACATGGTTGGGTAGCTCATGGTTAGGTTTCAGATTAAGCATGGCTTGCAGATATTTGAACCCATTTGCAGACTTCTAACCAGGTATGTTGTAGATGTTCATCAGTGGACTATTATTCCCACTTCTCTCGTTCTGGAATGTGCTCCATGACTGTAACAGCATGTACAATGAAAAAAATAGCTACTGAATTTTATCCTGTGCCTACTAAATATAACTAAAAAAAAGTTTTTGCTGTTGAAATCCATTGCCAATAAAAATTTGAGACTTTTAAATTCCTTTAAAACTTTATTTTGAAGTATTTGGGATGTTCTTATGCAAATAATATACTAAAACTATCCAACAAGTTGTCTAACTATTGGAAAACACTGAATATCTTAAGGCAGCACAATATTTTCTGATTTTTTTCATATTTTGATCATATATTGTCATCTTTATCTTGCACCAGTTGTTCTCTCTTGAAGAACATATTGAATAGACAAATATTTCTGGGGATTTTTTCCTTGTTTGATGTAAACAATCAAGGAGCTTCATTCAAGAAGCTTCATTTGTATTTGAGTTACCTAACAGTAACCTCAGAGAGTTCTTTGACAGCTGTAAAGGTGGAATATTTGCCTAACATTAGATATGAACCTGTCTGATTTCAGCCTGGACAGGGTAATTTTTTGCAGTGGCTGGGAGGGGGCATGGCAGGGCCCAGGTGTTATTCCATATCACCTTATATCATTGCAGGTGCGGGAGGGAAGGGACTCTGGCTTCCACAGGGAAGGGTGTTCCTTCTGAGTGGAACAGCCTGGGATTTTATTTTACCTGTTAATTTTTTCTTTGCTTTATAGCTCTTGTTATCATTATTGTTGCTGTTACTCTTTTTTCTTACGTCATTGCTTTTTCAAGTAAATAATTCTTATCTCAAGCCCTGATCCATGCTTTCTGTGTCTCCTGTTAGAGGTAGAGATGGGAGTGACAGGGCGTCTTTTTAGTGGGAGTGCTAAACTGGAGAATACCATTCCTAACCGTTGACAGTACTGCACACACTTTTTGAAGTGTGTAATAAGTAAAAGTTTTGAAAATATTACTTTCCTTGTTATTGAAGATTCTATTATTATTTATGTGGACCTGAACAACACATCAATTTGTTTGCATTTTAAAAATAGTTATTCCATTAAATTAGAAATAAAAAACAAGCCAAAAACAGACCACTTGGCATTTCAAACTCATTTGTTATTTTATTTCTGTAATGTTTGCTGATTATGATAATTGATCACTCCAAAATTTCAAAGATATAATTAATTGGTAAAAGTTAGTTGCCTTTTATGTGAAATATTTTAATTAACAAAGAACATTTAAATAAATTACCATAATATTGAAGGTCACACAAATATTAATTTCAGTTGTGCTCACTGTTGCATAGTTACATATTTCTATATAAAGACAGAATTAATTTTATTAAAATGAGAATAATATATTTCTTTTTTTGGAGTTTCACTTCAAGCACCCCTTTCTCCTTGGCCTTTTAGCTGAGATTAAATCTAATGTCAGTTTAATACTATATATGGCACTGTAACTTAATCTACTTAGTACTTTGGCAAAGCTGGAGAAATAACATCATTAGATCTTTCCTTTCTTCAAATACTGTAACTATTCTTTTCTGCAAAATCAAGCAACTGTGATAGGAAAGTGACCTACCAAAAATTAACACAATGACTGCTGAAATGTATTGTACTCAATAGCACTAACACAGATCTTTTTCTGCCATCATTTTCTTATAAAATTTGTGGGATTTCACCCAGTGCTTTCTTGGGCATCTGGTAATAAAGCATCTTCAGGCAGACTAAAGAGAGAATTTTGTATTTTCCATTTCCCAGGTGGTGGCTGAGTTGTCACTGTTGGCAGCTGAAAAGATGTAAGGAGGATTACTTTCTTCTCCACTGTATATTTAAATGAAAACATAGTTGTTATAGTAGTCTGCATGGAGCTGAACCATCAAGTCAAACATCTTTTTAGAAAGATTTCTCTCATGAAATTTAGGAAAAACAATCGTTTTAGAATTCCTAAATCAAAATGACAAAATGATGTATAGTAAAAGAAAAAACTAGAGATCTTTTTTGTCTAACATCTATTCTATGCATATTAAATAGTAGACTTCCAAATCAAGATTAGAATCAATTTCAACTGAAGTTGTGACCTTCTGTAGCTGAAGAAAAAAGTGTTAGGTTGATGACAAGATTAATGATATTTACATGGCAAATGACAGAACTAAAGCTAGAGTACTGATTAAAGATAATTAGTCAGTGTAATGCCATTTTGAACCTCTGCAAAATTGTATAAAATCAACAAATAGTCAGAATTTGGATATGTTCTGAATTCATAATCAGTAAGGACATGTTTGTAAATATACTGTCATTTGTACTTATTTGGATTTTTATGATGATCATTTTTTCTTCTTCTCTTTCAGTCAGTCCTGAGTGCTGCAATGAATTCTACTATA